GTGAATAAACCCTGCACCGCTGTGTTTCCATTGCCACGCTCAAATAAAGCCTCCTGTGAAACAGCAACTTTTCTCTTCTTATTATTCCATATTTTAGATTATTATGCAGTGAAGTAGCTTTTATACCAAAGCAGTGCTGGGGGGAAGATGTGGCACTGATGGGGGACCCCAGTGTGGGTGAGGAGTTGGTGCTTGGCTGCAGGTGACACCGGGAGCTCCGAAAAGAAGGAATATCAGCAGGTGCTGTCCTCATGGAGTGGGCACTGCTCCTCCTTGGAATAGTGGGCACTGCTCCTCCTTGGAATCAGTTCTGCCCCCGTGGCCATTTCAGCAAGATTCACCCTGAACCCAGGATTTTCTTGAAGGTTTTCCTGAGGATGTACACAGCCCTGTGATCTGTGACAGTTTGGGAACTCCTGTGAAGTGCTGCCGGCCCCAGGGGCAGGGGGAGGACAACAAAAACTGGACAAATGCTCCTGTGAACTGTCTGGACCCTCCTTGTATTGACTGGCAACAGAAAACTCCAGCTTGGCAATAGACACCTGGATTTGTGTCTGTAGGAAGATGGAAGAGCTGTTTGGACTTCTGTGGTGTCTCCACTTCCCTGCTTGCTTCTGTCAAACTGTTTTGATGCTACAGGTGGGACAATGATGCCAAAGCACCTTCTTTGAAACCAGCAACATGTGGAGTATTTATAGATATTTTGAGTAAGTAAGTTGAAGTATGGTGGCAAATACTTTCTCTCCAAGCCAGTGTGTTGTGATCCCTGTGAGCTCTGTTTCACCTGGCCCACAGTGGAGTCAGGTTATTGATTATTTAACCTGTGATTTCAGGAGGATGATGGTGTTACACTTTGGTTTTAGCAGAGTGTCAGTGATGGGGGACTCTGGGCTTAGCAGACCAAATTTAAATACCCTTTAAAAACTTGTAAAGGTGCTGATGTGCCCCAGGTGGGTGATGATACTGTATCAAAAGGTGCCTTTTAGCATTGTTATGTGACCTTTGTCATGTAAAAGTGCCTTTCTACCAGAACACAGTGGGCAGGGAACTGCATTAGCAGTTTCACTGCAAGTTTTTTGTGATTGTGCACCAGTGTTTTCGTGTTAAACAGAAATAGCTGCTCCTTCTACTCCAGGCCTAACTAAGTGTCTCATCTTTCCTAACTCAGATCTCATACGGTTGTGCATGCAGAAATCTTTAGAAACATCCCTGTGAAATGTTAAAAAAAAAAAAAAAAAACAAAAAAACAACCAAACAAAAAAAGCCAACCAAAACTTAAAATTGCTTTATCCAAATGACTGCAGTAGAAAGTTTGTGTGACATTTGTTTCTCAGGCAGCAGTGGAGGGAGTGCAGGTTGTGCTGTGTCCAGGCAGTCCTGGGGAAGGCAGGGAGGTGTTACATGGGTGTTCCTGTTGTGTTTGGGATCTGGACTGGTCTGGAGGTGAAGGAAGAGAATCAAAACATGACATGGAGTGTGCTGGTCCAACAGAAAACACATCCCAGCATGTGGAAATGGTGATGCAGCTCGTGTGGATGCTGAGCTTGCTGCTGTTTTCAGATCTCCCTGGGAAGGTGTCACTGGAATTGGAGGTGGGAGGGAGCAGCTGTACCTCAGACTTTCCAAACCCCCCCTTAAACTGCTGGGTAACACTTCCCCTGAAGTTAGTTACTGAATCGGTCCTGGTTTATAAATGCTAAAATAGGATTAAGATGGCAGTTAAGAAAAGGAAATTAAGCTGTTTGATCTTTTCCAGAGAGTTCAGCAACCCCTGCTTTTTTCTGAGGCTGGAGTAAAAACATTTAGTGCTTAACTTGGAAAAGATCTTGGATAGCAGTAGTAAAGCTCCTGAGTGTGGCTGAATGGCTGGATGACTTTAGGAGCCTTACATGGAATAAATAAGATTTGTTTTCTGTGGCTGTCATTAGGGTTGGCTGGAAGGGATTATCACAGATGACTCAAAGCAGATGTTCTGCAGTAAACTTTGGAGTGAGTTGGTGTGTGCCAGTCAGTGCTCCCAGCACGGGAACAGCTCGGGATCATTTGGGACACTGTAAATTATTCTGAGCTGGTTCCTGACAGCTCCCAAATGCAGGTCCTGGGGTTGCTTCATGGCAGTTGTTGTTTTGGGGGTGCTAAGGGCTGCAGTGCAAGCAGACAAAGGCAGGTAGAAACTAAAATGCAAGTTCTTGAGGCACTGAGTGGTGCAGTTACACTCCTGAGAGGTGTCTGGAGAGCCAGGCTGCCAAAATTCCCTGTCCCACTCTGCTCTGTGGAACTTTGTTGTGTATCCAATAAGCATCTTTAATAGCCCTTTGTATTAATAAATCAACATTTCTGGTGCTGCTCAAAGTAGGAAGGTCCTGGTAGGTTTTGTAGAGTCAGCCTCACGTTATTATGTGACAGATATGAATTTTATTAAGCCAGTGACAGATGGTTTAAGATAAAGATACTGGTGTGCAATATTGCTGTTATCCCAACAGGTGTCTTCTCATGGAATGAGTGACACTTGAAGTGTTTTGGGAGGTCATCTTGTTTCCATTGCTGTTTAACTGTACCCCAAGAAACTTCATAGTCTGTGTTATTTTGAAACAGGCAATTTGATTCTCATTATAAACTTCTCTTTATGGCAGTTTCATTGAAACATTCCAAGAAAACTACTGGGGAAGGGGGAGGAAGTTGTTGAACCTACCTGAACATTGTATTTATTTATTTTTAAAGAACCAAACTTTCCTATAGGTGAAAAAGGGAAAATGAGGGGAGCTTCTTGCTGGAAGTGTGAGATGTTGGGAGCCTTCCTGCTCTGAATTGGTGACAAATGTGTGAGGAATCCCAAAGGGGTGGTTTGTGTTTTAGCTGGAGTTGAGTGGTGTAAAGCCACTTTCACTGTCCTTAATTGGCACCACATGTCCCCAGAAGAGGGAGGGAAGTCCCAGCCTGGCAGTGCTGGTGTAGACCCGGGCCCTGGGAGATGATTTACCATTTGGGGGATCCATTCCTGTGTGTTGGGGTGTGCTGAACAAAGGCAAAGCTGTTACTGGAAATTCCCTGACCAGTTTTCATCTTTCTGTAGGTGTGTGCACACACAACATCCCTTTCCCCTTCCTGATAGGCTGACAATCCTTTTTTTTGCCATCAGTTTGTCATTCAGATAATGAATATTTGGGGATTACCAGTAACTGCAAAAATCGTTGTACCAATTACTGGTGTTTGCAATGCAGAGCCTTCTGCACCCTGGTAGTTCAGAGTCTAAAATCTGTGTTGGGAAGGAGAGTATCATGTTTTACAAGTTTAAAAATGTGTCTGGAAAGTCTCAGAATTGAGCATTAACTATTCTAAGGGCTCTGGTGCTAGAAACTGAAAAAAACCCCCAACCCTGGTATTATCTATTAGTTAAACTGTGGTGCTAAACTGTGCTTCCTGAGCACTGAGGGCAGGGCAAGGATCAAAACAGGGATGAAAGTCAGTGCACTGAAGTGAAATAGTGAAAACTAAAATATGTCAGAATAGGTGCTGTTGCTGCTCTAAAGGTTAAGCAGAGTTTTAGCAGAGCTGACCTCTTGATAGGGCTGTAAATATCTGCAGAGACAACGTAGCTCAGAGAAGAAAGAACCAGGACAAATTAATTAATCTTTGGCCTGCAGTTGGTTTCACGGCCTGTAAGAGTTAGAATCATTCAAAGCCTGTTTAGACTTTTAAACTTAAGTTTGATAAATCAATCAGAAAATCAGGGAAGGTGTTTCATCACTGCCAGGTTTATCCAGGTACCCTCAGCATTAAACAGTTCTGCTGGGGTGGACAGAACATGGTCTATGCCCAAGATTTCCTGAAAGAAAGAGACTTCAGCTCCTGGTTCTTCTGTTGTATCCTAAGGGAAGGGTAGAACTGACTTGGAAAAGCCAATTCTTACAAAGTTTGGTCTTTTTAAAATGAAGAATCGTGCAGGGGACTGTGGCTGGGGGGGCAGAGCTGCTGGTGATGCTCCTGCTCAGGCTTCAGGGGGATGTGGGATCCCTGCAGAGGTTCTTGCTGAGAGGTTTTTCTCTCGTGCACTTCATGTCCAGTTGAGTCACAAATGCAATTAAGCAATAAATGAGGCTGTGATTCAAGTTTCTCTGTGCTTATCTCTTAAATCTGCCTCCAAAGGTGAATTAGAAATTCCAAGTTTCGGTGCTTGTAACATCAGGTAATGGAAATTAGGGATCTCTGTGTAGGATCCTAAACTCGTTCAGGTTGGAAAAGCTCTCTAAGATTACCGAGTTCACCCCTAAACCACGTCCCTAAAATGTGGATCTGGGGTTCCTTGTGGAAATTATTAAAATGATTAAAATCAGGCGTGTGCTGGGGATGTTCAGACTGGGGGAGCTGTGTCTGTGTGCAGCTCACTGCTGGTGCCGAAATGCTGCAGTGCAGCCCATGAGAAAACCTGAGGCTCACTTTTTAAATGTGATTTTTGTGGGTTTGTGCAGTTCCTCCTCCCCGTGTTCCCCCCCAGCACGGGGGTCCCGGGGGGGTTGGAGTGGCCGGAGGAGTCTGGACAATGGTCTGGGGACACCTACTGGGCACAGCCCCAGCCCCAGGAGCCTCTGGAGACTCTTGGTGTGCAGCCACAGGAAGCAGCAATATCGTGAATAAAACTGTACAATGCTGACTTCTGTAAATCTGAAGCGGTGCCTAAAAAAAAACCCAGATTTCCCACTGGAGTGGTCGCTGCTCTTGGCCCACCGGGCACTTGTTTCCCGTTAGGACAATTAATTGATGCTTTGCCCAGGGGTCTCAGAACTTTGCTACTAAGTCACAGCTGTTTAATTGCAAATGTTTCCTTGAGTTTTACATAAGAGTGTGTTTGTTACAGCTCCTGCAGCTTCCAACTAGGTCAGTAAAGTGTCCTTGTCCCTATTTCTTGAACAATCAGCTCCCCAAAGCCAGACAGTCTGATAGCAGTTTGTGATTAAGGCTCCCAGCAATTATAAAGTGGAAGGTCTTAAATTACATTTGATAACTAAGACCTGTACATGAAACATGGAGTGACTTTGTGTTCCTTGTTGCAGATCCATAACATGGTGGCAGTGCTGGAAGTGATCTCCAGCCTGGAGAAATATCCCATTACCAAAGAGGCACTTGAGGTATGTCACGCTCTGAACATGATTTTTGTGTGTATAAAAGGACTTTCTCTGCCTTTCTAATTTCCATTGGAGCTTTTCTGGAAACAATAGATGGATTGCAAAGGATTCACAATTAAGATATTATTTTGTCCCTCTCGTGCTGCTTCCGACATCTCGCTGAACACAGGGATCCTTTCTGGGCCAGATCAGTATTCTGGGCAGCACAGTTCCTGTTTGTGCAGGGCACTACATTGATCATCACTTGCCACTGATGAATTTGGGTGCCTTCAGCAATATGACTCTGCAGTTTTGGTCACCTTCGTAGATGTTTGGTGACCGAGCACCAGAAATCTGAAATAGGAGTATAGTTGCTGTGTATCTTTAAAATCAATCTAAAATTCATTTAGGCAGGTTTCAATACCTGATCTTTTTGGTGAGAGCAGGTGTGGGAGAGCTGCAGTCTCACTGGCCACTCGTAGAAACAGCCCAAAGAAGTTTTATGGCTGATTTATATTTTTTTTTCACCCTTTGTATTGAAATTAGCGGTGTTCTTGCTTTTAACTGTTGCTTAATTACAACTCCACCTGTTATTTCAACATATGTATCCCAACAGGTTGCATATTTCTCTCACAGGCTGGTCTATGTTCTCCTTTGAAGTCCTTTTCTTAAGTAATCTGACTTGTGGAACAATTCTTTGTTTTCAAATGTGCTTTGGGAACAATCAAACATTTCACTTCCTTCCGCTCACAAAACCACTCTGGGACACCCCAGGAATTTGTTTAAATGGCTCTTCCACGTGTTTCCAAGATACTGGGGAGTGAAGGGAGAGGAGAGGTGGAGGAGGAAGGTAGGACATGTCACACCTAGCAGTCAGCTTTGTCAAATGGAGATTTTTATTGTTAATTGTTACTGTAACAGGCAAAGACCCTGGAATTCTGTTCTCTTGGCTCCTTCTGCAGATCTTAGACTTTCACTGTGGTGAACACAAACCTTTTGGGTGCTGCATCTGAACTCACACCTTTATTCTCAATGTTCTTTCTCATTAAAGAATTCCTTTCTGATGTTTTTCCCAGCTCAGGGAATAAAGACTTGAAACCCACAGGTGGTTTCATGTTGAGTGGCCGAGCTTTGGAAAAGATTAATTCAACACTTAAATCTTTAGTGTTTTTAACCAGGGTGAGCAAAAGCAGAAACGTTCCTTTAAGAGTTTTTCTTGGGATGATGATACCTGTTTGTAAAACAGCTTGTCTGTCTTTGTAGGAAACAAGGCTCGGGAGGCTCATCAATGAGGTGAGGAAGAAGACATCCAATGAGGAACTTGCCAAACGTGCCAAGAAATTGTTGCGGAATTGGCAGAAGTTGATAGAACCCGTGACCCAGAACGACCCAGTGCCAAGAGGGCTCCCCAACCCACCTGGATCAGCGAATGGAGGTGCTCACAACTGCAAACCAGAGACACAACTTCCTGCTGTGGCTGGAGCGAAGCCCATCAGCGAGCTGAAAAGCAGGAATGACATACAGAAACTGAATTCTCCCAAACCAGAGAAACTGGGAAATCGGAAAAGGAAAGGCGATCACAGGGATGGGCAGCAGGGCCCTCCTCCCCCAAAAGTCTCCAAAGCTAGTCATGAAGTATTACAAAACTCTTCACCCCCTCCAACAAACGGAATTGGAGGTAGTCCTGAAAATTTTCCCAGCCCTGTAGACGTAAATCTACACGCGGGGCCCGAGAGCAGCAGGACAGAACTCAGTGAAAACGATAAACACAATAAGATCCCAGTAAATGCTGTAAAACCTCACACCAGTTCTCCAGGACTTGTAAAACCTTCAAGCACTTCCTCGTTGCTAAAGACTGCAGTGCTTCAGCAGCATGATAAATCAGAAGAGACCACGGGCCCTCACCAGCCCAAGAGCCCTCGCTGCTCCTCCTTTAGCCCCAGGAATGTCAGGCAGGATACTTTTGCTCGGCAGCACAGCACGTACTCACCAAAGGATTCGATGCCCAGTCCATCTCAGAGGTCTCAGTTCTTAGACACTGCACAGGTGCCATCGCCACCACCATCCCTGATGCAACCACCCACACCTCCCCTGCCAGCCAAGAGACTGGAGCTCCCCCAGCCCTCGGCCGCCGAGGTCCCGCAGCACTGGCAGGAGCAGCAGGTCCCTCCTGAGGGACACAGGCACCCAGCGGGGCCCCTCCACACATCTCCTACCTGCAAGGCTGGCACCCACCCCGGGGACTCGCTCCTGCCACACGTGGGCTTCCCACAGGACACTTCCAAAATGGACAGTGACGATGCTGCTTCAGGGTCTGATAGTAAAAAGAAGAAAAGGTACCGACCCAGAGACTACACAGTCAACTTGGATGGGCACGTGACAGAAGGGGGTGTGAAACCTGTGAGGTTAAAAGAGAGAAAACTCACTTTTGATCCCATGACAGGACAGATAAAACCTTTAACACCGAAAGATCCTTTGCAGGTAGAAATCCCTGCACTTACTGAACAGCACAGGACAGAAACGGAAAAGCAGGAGCAAAAACCCAACCTGCAAAGCCCTTTTGAACAAACGAACTGGAAAGAGTTATCCAGAAATGAAATCATTCAGTCATATTTAAACAGACAGAGTAGCTTGCTGTCCTCATCAGGAGTACAGACTCCAGGAGCTCACTACTTCATGTCTGAGTATTTAAAGCAGGAGGAAAGCACTAGAAAAGAGGCTAGAAAGACTCACGTTCTAGCTCCTAACAGCAAACCTACAGACTTGCCTGGGGTCACCAGGGAGGTCACGGGCGATGACCTCGACAGGATACGTGACCACAACTGGCCGGGCGTGAACGGTTGTTATGACACACAGGGTAACTGGTATGATTGGACACAGTGCATATCCTTAGATCCACACGGGGATGATGGGAGGTTGAACATCCTGCCTTACGTCTGCCTAGACTGAGAGCAGGTTTTTTGCTAAAACCCTGCTTTTTTTTTTTTACACCTGCAGTTGGCAAAAACTGGCAGACACGATGCCACTTCCAGCTGGAGAGAACCTCCTGTCCTGGACAAACAGGCCCCACGAGCAGAGGGGGGGAGGGAGCTGGGCCTTTCCAGCTCGTTCCTTTAAATTCTCCTTTTGTGAAATGCTGCTACCAGTTTACTAACAATTGCAAAGGAAGGCATACGAAGGTTGATCAGTGAGTTCAAAACTCTCTAGCCAGCCAGCTATAAAAAGTGTTAGTCCCCCAAGAAGTGAAGAGGATTTCCAGCACTTTCTGAATGCCGGAATCTTAGTACAGGCAGGTACAGAGAAAATTGTGGAAGTTACCTTAACAAAATATGCATCTATTTATTTGACTTGATTTGGTTTTTTTTTTTTTTTTTTTTTATTATTTGGCAGTGAGATATTCGAGAGACAATGTGCAAAAACTGTAGTTTTATTTCTATCACATCTCTGAACATGATTGCGTTGGTCTAAAGTCATGTGGTAAATGGAGATTGGGTTTTAAACAGCAGGTGTTGCACTGCAGGCTGGGCCTCCAGCTTCAGCTCAACATTCCATAGGCATCCACATCCTTTAGTCTGGTTTCAGTTTAAATCCAGTCTCTGAGAAATGCTGCAAAAACTAGATGTTTAACGATATTTTTTGATCCCACCACCACCAGCCAAATATTTTTCCTCCTTTTCCCTTCCTGCAAACTTCTAGGTAAAAAAAAAAAATAAAAAAAAAATAAAAAAAAAAGGACAAAAAAAATAAAAAGAAAAATCACCTTTTCTAGAATCTAAATGTAATGAGGGTGCTACAAGTTTGTAACTGTACTGTGAGAGGGAAAAAGGAAGCCTGTTTGTATGCTGGAAATATACTTGTTACCATTCCTTTAGATATTGTTTGCCTTATGGATATCCATCATAAACGCAATTTGCAAAAACAAAGAGCCTTAGTGAATGTACAGTAACTAGACTTCTGTGTTCCTGGGATGCAGAAGGGAGCAACTTTGCTATTTGGTCCTTTAAGTGGACACGTTGTGATATAAATGTGGAAATAAAAAAAATTTGCACAAAACAGTTTGTGAATTATTTATATTTCACTCGTTTCCCTCCCTCTCCCCCCCCAAGTTTGCTCAGTTCAGCCCAGCCAAGGGACCCTTGACCCCAGGAATCCGTTGGAGCAGTTTGGTGAAGCCAAATGCCACGGACACTGCTGAGAGCAGCTCTTAGGGATATATGGGATGTCTTCCAAGTACCTTGGTGGTGTTCAGTCACACAGGTTAGATTTTGGTTTTAACTCTGGAGACTGATAACCCAATTGCTGTTAATGTACCTCAAAGTGTAAAGGAACCAGAGTTCATTTTCTTGTTTCAGTAACTTTGTAATATTTGATTCCTCGCTGTTACAGTGCTTTCTAAAGCAGCCTGGGTGTAGAGAGTGAAGGGTTTTAATACCTGTAATTGCTTTAACATTTGGGACTGGCTGTTTTCTGCAGTCCCCAGTGCTGGGCTTCTGTCCAGGGGAACAGGGGAGGGGACACTATACCAAAAATATTCCCAGGTTTAGTGATGTTAATGCTGTTAACCCGTTTGTGCTGGAGAAGAGCCTTGGTGAGAGCTCTCCTGCCTCTGAGAGCAGAGTCAGGCTCTTCCCTGGTTTTCACAGAAGGGTGCTTCTGACCACATTAAGTTGGTTCATTCCCTGGAATACAACTGATGAGGTTTGGTTTATTTTCATGTCATTCTTGTTCAAACCTACTGCTTTTGTGATCTGACTGCTACTGAAATGTGTGGGTGTCTCAGAAAGCTGATGTCTCTGTGCTTCCATTTCTGAAATCTGAGGTCTGGGAGTGAAAAGTGGTTACCAAACAATGCTTCCAAGTATATTTTCAGTTTACTTCCATTTTGTTGTTCTGCAGTTGGTGAGGTGGAGCCAGTGTGGTTTGGATTGGGGAAAGCTCCTGTCTTGCAGTTCTGAGTGGTAGATTTGGTGGTAGAGGGATGAGCTGCTGGTCACTTTGGAAATGCTTGAGTTTTGTTTATGTAAAAAAATACTGTGCATCTTATGTCCCTCTGCCCCTCCTCCCCCCTTCCCTGAATGATCCCATTTAGGAACAGGGTCTGTGCTCTTTTGAGGCCTTTGACTAGAGGGCAAACTTCAGGAAATGACAAAGTATTGCATTACACTTGATAAAACTCCATCTTTTTCTCCACTGCTTCCATTTCTGATGCAGTTGATGGCCCTTGAGGACCACACTGGGTGAGGTGATGCCCGAAGCTCATCACAGCTTTCAGATTATATCCAACGAACTGCTGGTGCTCAGTTGCTTGAGGGAGCATCAGGAATCAGACCTCTGGCCCTTTCCCTGTGGTACAAAACTGCTGGAGAAACTCCTTCCCAGTGCAAGCTTTAAATCTTGTTCCATGCCGAGTTTGTTGCTGCTGTTAAAAGGTCAACTCACTTGGTGTCATCCAGGGTGAGACGAGGCTTGACAATCTTTATTTCAGCATGCCAGTATAACCAGTTCTGTGAGCTCCAACAAATGTGAATAAGTTTACAAGGTGATATTTTTTTGTCAATTTTGTAAACAAGTTCAAATGAAGTTTACCATGTGCGTACCTGCTGTGGACTCTCATTTGTGCCTGACTCAGTTACTCTGCTACTGCTTTCTCCTCCCTCTCTCGCAAAATTTATCCTTCTAATCCTAAAACCTGAAGTTAATACGCTGCCATTTCTTTCTTGTCAGTGGATGACACGAAATGGCTCATCAGCAAACCTTCTGGGAATCGCCATTACCTGAAGTGCATGTTTTTATCGGTATTAACGCTGCAAAAACGTCTCTTGACAGAGTGCGTGGATGAGCCGGGCTCTAGCAGCCCTCCTGCCTGCCAGGTACTCACCCATCCTTTCCCCCAGCCGGTTCCCGGAGTTAGTTTTAAAGGTCAGCAGCGACTGTCCCGGTGGCTCCCAGCCCGTGACCTTCGCTCCGTCCCTGCCCTGCGCCTCTCGCTGTCACACGGGCCGGGCTC